GCGACACAATGTAACCCTCGTCAAAATTCGCAATAGGTATGTTGAAGTGGCGCGATGTCTACAAAATTATACCTGGTAACCTACAGCCCCTACGAGCGGCTCGGCTCACCCCCTATAAGGTCGAACATTCAAATTCGACCTTGGGTGTGTGATTTGACCTACTTGAAACTCTCATGCGCGGTTCAAAATTCACGTTCAATGGAAGTCGAACACTGTTCGGCTCAAGTTCAAATGCTACATTCGACAAAAAAAAAATGCAAACTTTGCCAATTTCAAAAATCATACACGTCCTAAGGGAATCTTGGATTCATCGCAAGAAACATTGTACTATATTTTTTGTGGCACGAAACGCGCGTCGGTGCTGTCGCAGTCGACTTAGGGCGCGTAACTTTTTCACTTTTCATCGTCCGGACGGAGGACCCGTACGGACTTTTGTAAGGTTACGTATTTCGCCTAGTTTCGTTATTGAGTTCGTGAGACCCCTTGCGACATCGCGATCGTCCGTACGAGTTCTGACACTTTTCTGCTTGTTCATCGTCCGTTCTACACTCCTGACGTCGTCCGGACAGCATTTCGGACCGTCCGGAACTCCTGCAACGTCATTGGTGCGCGAAGCACATTTTTTATCAGTTCTAGCGACTCGGTTTCCTGCTCGCCAGAACCACGCTTTGACGGAAAGGCAACACAGAAGTTCCACTATCGTCCGGACGAGCACACAGACTCACAGCACTACAAAAAAGCGAACTCTCTACAGTCCGGCTTTTTTCTGACACAACTTCATGCATGCGAAGCGGCCGGTTTGTTGACGAGGTGGGTTATAAGAGTTACTGTTTCGCTCAAAATGCAGTTTTCGCAAGTGCAAAAAAGTGTCATAATAGGGGTACGGACTCATCGTCGTCCGTACCACATCCCCAACCGTCCGGACGGAGCTCCGTTCGGACGATTTGGGGCCCCCGTCCGGACATTTGCCCGAAACGGAAAAAGTTACGCGCCCTTAGAAGTGAAGCTGGATTCGTAAGGTCTCCAGTTCGATTCCAGCTGATGCAAAATTTTGAATCCTTGCCGAATTTTGTCCCTCTTAGTGTCATACTACAGCAAATGTACAGAATTAGAAGCTGTACAAATTTATGTGATTACGCAAAAAGCTTCGCAACCCTAAGACGATCTAGTCGACTCTTGTTGTTTTTGTTTTTGTTTTTGTTTTTTTTTTCCAGTGAAAAAAAAAACATTTTGCAAAGTAATACGAATCAACAACAAAGTGCTGAAATTTGAGATTCTGGTTCCTTCCTTCATGTCCTGCATTCTTATTTCTCCTTTACATCTTTTGTATTTAGCCCACATTCGCCCGTTACCGTCTATCTTCTCACTACATAATGTTCGTTCTCGCTTACATTGCAATCCTCGTTTTGCTTGTTTCATTGTCACTCAAATAACCAATAAAGTATAGAACCACAGAGAAACTGATCCTTGCGCATTAATATCATATGTAGCGTACGATGAAATCTTTATTTGGCATATTCAACTTGAGTATTCATGTCAGGATATATATCAATGCATGTTATCAATGTGCGCCAACAGCGAATCATTCTGCCATCCCCACCGTTTGAGCTGGGCAGCACCAGCAAGCTCATCAAGGCGAGATTCCCCTCCGCACATTCGCCAGACACGAGCGCATCAGGGCTATCCCAGGTACAGTATAGCACGGCTTCCGCTGGTCCTTCGACAGGCGCTGGTTCGAGCAAATGTTCCTCCCTTTCTCCCATCCACTGCTGCATCAATGTTGATTTGAAGCTACATTGACAGCATTTGACGATAATACAATCTCTTGTTTCTGTTGTTATCGTACACCTAACGCGCTGCAGCGATGGCTCATTTAATGCGCCGGTTGAGGCCACGGACTCGATTGTTTCTTGGCCTTCAGCGGTCATTTAGCTCAACAGCAGCCGGGACGGGTGAGAGCCCGTACAATGCCTGTCGAGGTCAAACGCTTTATATCAGCTGACCAGATTTCCCTCGATGAATGCGCATGCAGGGGACCCAAACTTTTTGGAGTCCGTTGATATTTATTTCGACAAGGCTGCTGCCATCTGCCATGTGCCAGGGGACATCCTGGGACAAATAAAGGTATTTCTTGCGAAAAATGCAACTTTGTCCTGGGACATGTTCCGAAATCACTGTTGGTAACTATTTTGTATTTTTCCGGGACCTCACCAGGGATGCAACAATGTTCTCAAGGTTCAGTTTCCACTGAAAATGTCGAATGGCACGGTCGAGCTGATTGAAGGCTATCGAGCACAGCACTCTCATCACAGGCTTCCAGGTTGGCCTTCAGCTGCGTTTTCTTCCATCACAGGACAAGATTTTCAGAAGCTAACTTCCGTTCGTCTTTTCTCCCTTTTCAGGCAAGGGAGGTGTCCGTATGGCACCAACCGTGGACGCAGATGAGACCGTGGCCCTTGCTGCACTTATGACATTCAAGTGTGCTGTTGTTGATGTTCCGTTTGGTGGAGCCAAGGGAGGAATCAAGATAGGTAGGCAATTGCAACAATACACATTTCTCTTTGTTGCAATTGAGACACTTCCGGGGCTCACCTTTTCTGTTTTGTCCAACACTGGCCATATGCTGATGATACGAAGACCCCAAGAAGTACTCTTCGTTAGAGAAGGAAGCCATCATTCGACGGTACACCACGGAGCTTGTGAAGAAGAACTTTATTGGCCCTGCTATTGTAAGTCACCCACCTGGTTCAAGCGTGTGCGCTTCAAGTAATGATTTTGGCTTGACAAACCTGCTACCTGACTTGGACCAATATCTGTATCTCAGGACGTCCCGGCCCCTGACTACGGTACAGGACCACAAGAAATGGCGTGGATCAAGGTGGGTCTTTTGGTAGCTTAGCTGCTTTCGCACTATTGTAACTCAATCTGACTGCTTGTATGGTTGTCTTTCAGGACACCTATGAGACCCTGAGGCCAGAAGATCTCAACTCGTTTGCTTGTGTCACTGGGAAGCCCATCGAAGAGGTATGCTCATAATATTTATTTGACGATCAATGGAAGTCTGAGAAGCAACATTTACATTCGTGAAAATGTGACTACAGGGAGGCATCCGTGGGCGGACTCAGGCTACAGGAATGGGTGTCTTCATCTGTCTGAGGGAGTTCCTCAGCAGCAAGGTGCATAATACGTCGTGTTGAGTGTGCTCATGCTATACTACTTCTCAATAACGCCTCTCACAATGGCTCTACGGTTTCTTGACAGAACTGGATGGCGAAGCTGAACATGTCAACGGGTGTCGAAGGAAAGTCATTCATCGTTCAAGGTTTTGGAAACGTCGGTCGTCATACCATAGACGTACGTCCATCTTCTTTCATTCCCTGTTCCTTTTGTTCACTAAGCAAGAAGGACATCAAGGTATTGGTTATGATCCTCTCATGTTCGGTCCACAGGCTATCGTCACAGCCAAGGGAAAAATCACTGCCATTGCTGAGTATGATGGTGGTTTGGTCGATGAGACTGGAAACGGCCTTGACATTGAAGGCATCAAGCAATATCATGCACGGAATGGCACCATCACGGGGTTCCCAGGAGCCAAAACTGTAAGCATTCATTTAGGCTGCCAATATGTTCTCTCGACCCAATATTGCTGTCCTAACTCTTGAAAATTGGTGTTTTCAGGTCTCTGACCCCTTCTCCCTACTTGAGCTCCCTTGTGATGTCCTCATACCGGCTGCACTGGAAGGCCAGATCCATTCAGGAAATGCCAGCCGCATCAAGGTAGAAACCTAGTCTTGGCTCTGCAGCTTCCAGCTGTGTACTGCAATGACTTCATGCTGTGATTTGCGTGCAGGCCAAGGTTGTCGCAGAAGCTGCAAATGGTCCTGTCACTCCTCCAGCAGAGAAGATCATGGAGAGCAACGGAATAGTTGTTCTGCCAGACCTTTTGCTGAATGCGGTAAGTTTGAATCTTCATAAGTCCCCACATTCTTTTTCAGGCATTCTCCCTTGTCTTTTGCTGGAAGTTTAACTCAATGGTGCTGCTTGGGCCGCAGGGTGGGGTGACTGTGTCCTACTTTGAGTGGCTGAAGAACATCAACCACATTCGCTTTGGGAGGATGAGCCGACGCATGGAAGAAAGGGGCAAACAGGTGAGGTTCACTGACTTCCATCGAAGCTTACCTGTCAAAGTTGATGTATTTGTCACAGCCATGCAATATAATATTGCTTAATTATACTTGATTCTTCTTCCTGTTTTTTAATTCCAGGCTTTACTTGATGCTTTGGAGAAGGAGATTGCGACTGGTATAAAATTCACTGACGACACACGCCGTTCCATCATTAAGGGGTGCGTTTCCTCTGCAGACCCGATTTCCCGTAGTTGTGCACCACCTTTCCACTATGTCTTTTGTGTATACGGCCAAATGTTCTGGAAATTTATACGTTTCAAGTGTTTGCTCGTTCGTTCCCCACCACTTGAGCAGTAACACTGAGGAGGATTTTGTGTGGTCTGGCCTTGAGGAGACAATGATAAACGCCTGGGACGAAGTCAAAAGGGTTGCTGAAGAAAGGGTGAGACAAGTTGACGGTATGTGTAGATTTCCTTCTATGCAACATCAACATGCCTAACAAACTTCTCTTTGATTTCTTCAGGAATGCAATTTCCGCACAGCATCATATGTGATTGCCATCGAGAAGATTGCAACGTGCTATCGAGTCAGTGGAATCTTCCCCTGAGCCATTCTGGAAGATTGCCACGTGTCAAGACGTTTTCCTCCCTTGAGAGCACCTCAATCAGCTTGCCCTAAGAGAATCAAATGTTGCCCTATACTTTTCTTCACCACAATACCGCCACCATTGTAGCATTGGATTCATAACGTTATGATACTTCTCATGCGAATGAAGTAACTCTGACGGAACACATCCTGTGAATGGTGCACTACTACGTTGATGTACAACAGATAAGTGGAACCTACAGTACCAGCTTCTTTCACAGGTGTGCCTCATAGTAGACCTAAAGCTAATGATGGTTCCCTAAACAGACCCCCCGGTGAGGGAGAAGGTTCTGAGCCAACTGAAGGTTCTGAGGACACTGAAGCCTGAGAGGAAAGAGAAGGTTCACTGTCGAGGGTTCTCCCAGAGAAGAAGCTGGATGATGAATGCGGTGAGAGGATACGGGGAGGTGGGAGCGAGTGGCAGTGCGGAGTGGCTGCTGTATCCCGAACCCATTCGTGTGCTGAAAGGTAGGGATGAGGGGTGGAGAGGGGTGGGATTGGGTGTGCGAAGTGGGGAAATTCGCATAACCTGAAAGAAAATGGATGTGTTTCAAATGGAAGCAAAGCACGTTTCTGAAAGAACCATCCCCAATTCGCATAACAGATTATGACCACCACACCTCACTAATCATAGCGAAGTGCTGCAACTAACAACTGCAAGAATGAGAATCACTCACCTAAAGCTTGGCTTGTTGTGATTCGTCTGGAGGGGTCTTTGACCAGCATGGCTTGAAGCAGCTCTTTGGCTTCCTCCGAAACATGCTTCCAACGCGCAGATGAAAATCGAGGGGCTTTAGTTCTAATGGCGTTGTATATGGCCTCGTTTGATGCAGCCCAAAAGGGAGGCAGTCCGGAGAGCAATGCGTAGACTAGAACTCCTGTGCTCCAGACGTCTGCTGGAGGGCCCCAAATGCCGTCTAGCGTCTCTGGGGCGAGATAGAGGGGTGTGCCATATAGCTTGCAGGAGGCAGCATCTGAAAGCAACGGGGTTGCAGCAGGGCATTGCAATGAGACAGAGTGGAAGGTGAGAGTTATGAAAATGATGGAGCAGGTGTGTGAAGGCTATCCAGCTTTATCAGCAAGAAAAAACGCATAGACCCCATTTTCTTACACACTTCTGGGAATCCTGAATTCCTAAAACAGCACAAACCATTACCAAACAAGCAGGCAAGAATTATCCTGAAAGTGAGACTCCAACAGTCTCCAAGAACGCTTCACATCGCTGTCATTGCCACAGGACAATCTCCAACAACCCTGTCCCTCTCCCCTCCCATACTCCCCGCTGCCCCCCTGCTGCGCTCTGGCCCCCCAAGGAAAACTCACATCATAAATCAGAACCGCACAGTGCCCAACAAACACTTAAAAACCCCGGTGACTGACCAGGTTCGACGTCTGTGGAAATGCCAAAGTCCACGAGCTTGATCTGCTTGACACTGCCGGGCTGCAGCAGCAGCACGTTCTCGGGCTTCACATCCCGATGCAGCACCCCGCACGTGTGGCAGTGGTGCAGCGCGGCCAGCAGCTGCCGGCACACTGGTGCTGCCATGGACTCGGGCAGGCGGCCGTACTGGCGCATGAAGTCGAATAGATCGCCGCCCCGACACAACTCCATCACCAGGAAGATGCTCTGAAGGGTGAGAGAGAGAGAGAGAGAGAGAGAGAGAGAGAGAGGGAGAGAGAGAATGGGGGGGAGAGGGCATGGGAGGGCATGGGAGGGCATGGGAGGGCATGGGAGGGCATGGGAGGGCATGGCATGGCATGGCATGGCATGGGATGGCATGGGATGGCATGGGATGGCATGGGATGGCATGGGATGGCATGGCATGGCATGGCATGGCATGGCATGGGATGGCATGGCACGTCCTAGCAGCATGTCATGGCAGGGCACCGCACAACGAGGCTCACCTTATCATCCTCACAGGCAGCATGCAGCTGCACAACGTTGGGATGCCCCGACACCACCTCCATTGCCCGACAAAGCATGCATGCCATGGCATAACGAGAAGCATGGCTCACCTTGTCATCCTCACACGCAGCGTGCAGCTGAACAACGTTGGGATGCCCCGACACCACCTCCATTGCCCGACAAAGCATGCATGCCATGGCATAACGAGAAGCATGGCTCACCTTGTCATCCTCACACGCAGCGTGCAGCTGAACAACGTTGGGATGCCCCGACACCACCTCCATTGCCCGACAAAGCATGCATGCCATGGCATAACGAGAAGCATGCCTCACCTTGTCATCCTCACACGCAGCGTGCAGCTGAACGACGTTGGGGTGCCCTGATACCACCTCCATTGCTGCCACCTCCCTCCTCAGGTTGCGCGCCTCATCTGCTGACTGTGCCGTGCAGGGTGGTGGAGGGGTGGGGTGGGGTGGGGTGGGGTGGGGAAGGGTGGAGAGAGCATGTTGGAAAGAGGACGAGGGTGCAGGTGGAGAGCAGGAGCATGGCATGCGCGGGCAGCTGAGCGAGCTTGCAGAGAGTGTGTTGGGATGCCCCGGTACCACCTTAATAGCCGCCACCTCCCTCCTCAAATTTCACGCCTCGTCTGCTGACTGTGCCTTGCAGGGGTGGTGGAGGTCGGAAGGGGCGCAAGGGGAGGGGTGGGAGGGGGAAAGGATGGAGGGAGGGAAGGGGAGAGAGAGTGTTGGCAAGAGGATGATGGTGCAGGGGACGAGGACGAGCATGAGAGGCACGTGCAGGCAGGCCAGATGGCAGCTCACCCATAGGCTGAAGTACACATGCCAATTCCTCTCAAGATCGCTCCTGTCGCTTCTGTCAATATCTCCTCCTCTCTACGCCTATTCATCCACACACTCCTTTCGTCTCCTGCCAGTTCCTACATGCTCCTCAAATCGTACCTGAATGCTCTGCTTGTCGATGGTCTTGCAAGCCAGCCTCGCCCCACCCTCCCGCTCCACACACACCCGCACCGCACCAAACTCCCCCCGTGCCAGCACCTCCCCTCCCATCTCAAACCGCTCCTCCACGTCAGCATACGGCCGGCCCAGGATAAACGACCTGAACACGTCAGCATCCGCAGGTGCTGAGTCAGCACGCCCTCCTGCCCTAGCAGCTTCCCCAGAAGGGGACCTCCCAACAGCCTGCCTCCCTGCCCCTCCTCTCCCCTCCCCTCTAATCCCCTGCTGCTGCTCCCCCTGCATCCGTCCCATGCTTCCGCTTCTCCCATGCCCTCCGCCCCGCCCTCTGCCCTGCGCTCTCCCCTGCCCCTCGCCGCTGCTGCTGCCGCTGCTGCTGCTCTGCACTGCACGCACCCCCGCCCCGCCCGCCCCACCCCTGCCATTACCAGGGAATTTCGACTCACTACTCCCCTCCGCACCAGCCCCACTCACACTCTTCCACCTCCTCTCCCCATCTCCCCCCCCACGCCCTCCCCCACCTCCATACCCCCCTCCCTCCCCCTCCCCCTCCTCCTCGTCGTCCTCCTCCCCATGGTCCACACACAGTCGGTCAAACTCACCCACGCCCGCACACCCCACGGACGCCGAGTGCGGGAACAGGGGCATGGGGAACGGCGCCATCCGATTGGCCCGTGCCAGCGGGTTCACTGCCGCGTCCAGCCGCCCGCCGCCGCCCGTCTCAACACTCGCCGGCCGCCCGCCAGCTGGCGTCGTGGGGCGGGCGCCGGCCGGCGTGGAAAAAGAAGAGTCGTGAGACGGCCGCCCGCCCGCCAGAGACGTCTCAAAACTCGCCGGCCGCCCGCCAGCTGGCGTCGTGGGGCGGGCGCCGGCCGGCGTTGACGGCCGGTCCACGATGACCGTTGGATCGACTCCGGCAATCCTACCAGCGGGCAACAACGGCCGTTCGATCGCTCCCGATTCCCCTCCAAAAGCCCCTCCTCCGCCTCCTCCCCCACCCCCGCCTCCCCCGCTCGCCCCAACCCTCCCCCCGGGGGTAACCGCACGCTCCAAAGACCCATCGCCTCGCCTCACAGGCGTGGTGGGGCGCGGCACTGCTGCCACGCCCGGCCACGCGCCGTCCCCCCTTGCTGCTCCTGTGCCGTCGCCCGCGTTCCGCTCCACGAACGACTTGGGGCGCACCTTCCCCCGGAAGCTCGCCCTGTCCGCGCGGCTGCCCGCCTGCCCCTGTGCTGCAGCGCCCACCCCCCGCGGCATGGCTGTGTGCGGCCGCGCTGCTGCCCCCACTCGCTCTGCATCTACGTTCAACCTCTCTGCTGCCCCCAACCGCTCTCCTTCCACATTCAACCGCTCTGCTTCCACATCTAACCGTTCTGCTACCCGTGCGGTTGAGGCAGAACTCAGCCCCCCATCCGCCCCATGCAGGGGCGTGGTTGGCCTCTCCATGCGCCCCACCCGCCCCTCCCCGCGCGCCCCCACTGCCACTTCCCCCCGCCTGGTGGGCGTCGTGGGGCGCTCCCCGCCTTCCGCCTCCTGCCTGCGCGTGGGCGTCTTGGGGCGCTCGAGCGCGCCACCATCCGCGCGCAGCAGCGGCGAGGCGGGGCGCTGCCCCGCGAGGGGCGTGGAGGGGCGCTCCACCACGCGGGGAGTCACTGGCGCCTGCACCGCGCCCCCTGCGCCCAATCCGCCTATTGCTGCTCCGCCTCCTCCGCCTATTACTGCAGGTGCACCCGTGGCGGCGGCGGCAGCGAGGCGGACGCGCTCCGCCTCGTGCAGGTCCATGCGCGCGGGCGTCTTGGGGCGCCCCGCCACCACCCCCACACCCACCGCCGCCACCCCCACGCCCCCACCAGCACCGCCGCCGCCGCCCATGTCGCGCCTGGGGGGCGTCGTGGGCCGATCCGACGGCGCCGCGAACCCGCCCGCGCCCAACCCCCCTACGCCTGCGCCTGTCCCCTGCGCGCCCGCTGCCAGCCACTGCCGCGGGCTGTCCTCTTGCTCCGCCGCCCCCTGCCCTCCCTGCGACAGCACCCGCCCCACGCGCGTCCTCGGCCTGTCCGCTACCGCTCCCGCAACTCCCGCGCCCGCCGCGCCTACTACCTCCCCCCCGTCACCGCCTGCGCCGGAAACTCCCCCTCCGGAATACCCCGCGCCGGCATCCGCCCCACCAGCGCTCCCGCGCCCTTTCAGTCGCAAGGCGGCCCTCTCCGCCACGGCGCGCGTGCTGGCGTTCGACGCGCCCTCCCCCGGCCGCACCTGCGGCGCGCTCGCGCTCTTCCGCAGGGAACGCGACGCCACCGCCCCCGCCACAGTGCGCAGGCCGCCGCCTCCGGGGGGCACGGCAGCTGTCGCACTGCCTCCGCCGCCCGAAGCCGCAGCAGCGGCCACGGAGGTCGTGGGCGGACCTGCGCGCGCTACTGGTTGGACTGGCGGAGCCTTCCCCGCAGTCACCGGGCGCGCGCGTGTTTGCGCTTGCCCTGGTTCCGAAGCCCTCCGCGCGGGAGGCAGGCCTGGCGGGGCAGCTGCGCCATGCGCGGAGGAACCGCCGGAAAGGGGGGAGAGGTTCGGAGGCGTGTGCGGCGGAGGGTGTCTGACTGCGTCTAGTGTCCGCACGGGCTGCGAGGCGGAACGCGCAAATCCGCGGCCCCCGCCGGAAGGGCTCATTCCCCCCGGCCTGCCGCGCCCTGGCGGCATCCGGCTGGGGCTGGCGGAATCGGAGCGCGCAGAAAGCGGGGAATGGGGGAGAGCGCGAGAATGAGGAGATCCGCCGTTATTTACGGGATCCATGGATTCTGGCCACGACGCACCTCCGCCATCGGACCTAACGTCGTCTAAGCTGAGTGAATCGACGCCGTCGGATCTACTGTCCACGTCAGATGATCGGGCAGGCGAATTGCGCCCGCGGGACGTTGCGGCGCGCGCGGAGGTCTCTGCGGGAATACCGCTCGAGGCGGAAACGCTCCGCGGAAATGCATGCCGCGCGGCGGAGACTCTGGAAATCGCGGAGGCGACCTTTCCGCCAGCCGAACCTGACGGCCCTGGGAACGCAAACCCGCCTGGCTCGTCACCGTGGTTCGATTCAGGTTCGGAATCTGAGCCTAGTCTCAGATTTTCATGGCTAGCAGAGCCTCGTAAGGCGGAATTGCCTGCAGCATGAGGACTTCGGGGCGGTACGGATGGGTGCGAGGGTTGCAGCCGTGCTTGTGATTGGGCCCGCGGTGTTGTGCTGTGAGACGTGTCGGAACCTGATTGGCTCTGCGGTCTCGCCTTCTCGGATTTGGACGTGGGGAACGGCCGCGATAACGGGCGATCCGCGCCGCGGTCGGGTCTAGGCGCTGAAGGGGGATGAGCTCTAGGAGCGGTCTCCATTAACGCGTATGCAATGAGACGAGGCAAGTGCGGGCATGATGGAAGGTATATAGAAGGTATGGAAGGTATGGATGCACGGATGGGAGTTGGGTAGTCTGCTAGACCTTGGGTGCCAAGCGCATGGAAACTGGTTGGCTTGGCAGTGCTGCCCCCGGCGGTAGGGGAAGCTACAAGTGGCACTGATATATATATATATAAGCTGATATATATGGGAGAAGGGTGTGTGTTGTTCATTCTTTGATCACAAAACAGATATTTGGACTTCAAAGGTACTACATCATCCCTGAAAAACAAATAATAACGCTATATTTTCTTTCTTTATTATCATATAGGGAAAGAAAAATATTATGGCTGTTACGAATGGTAATATTTGATATTACTGTGCACTCCTCACCGCAGCAAAGAGAAGCACGCAATATCGGGAACGAACGCGAAACGTCAGACGGTTGGAATTGAACCGAAGAGTCAGACGGTTACAGCACATCTGGACCGTCGGAGCAGATGGCATCGGGCAGCTTCAGGCAGGATGGTTTTGGCGGGAACAGTTACGAAACTGTACGCGCCGCACGGTTGGGAATGAATTTGAATAAGGGAATGTACCCCTTAGAGTACATGGCTAGTTAGGTCGCTTCGTATTCCCTTGTACTCATATTTATATTTCTTGTTTTTGCATGTTTTATTCATCTCAAGCATCTTACATTCACTCTGCTATTGAGGTCAAGGGCCCACCAAACTATCTTACTGCGTGCGAACCTTCCTGAGTAGTGTTGAAATATATATGTAACTGCCTGTAGCTGTAGTGTAGTGTAGTTATTATAACCTATTGGTGGTGCACCTTCTTTGCATGCTTTGTTTGCTATTTGTACCTCGCTCAATAGTGAACTCATCCTCTTTGGCTAAACTCTCTCGACATGTTCCTCTCAAGTCCCCTCCTACCCCAAACCCTAGTCTAAACCTAATCTACTCTTTTAACATGGTATTAAGAGCTAGGTCGTCCTAAGACCTATTTTTTTTTTCCCCATGGGCCCACCACGTATCCCCCCGCTCATGGCGCTCGTCACGCCCCCCGTCGCGACCGTAGTTACGACGGTTGCAACGGCCGCGACCGACAAAACGGTCTCGGCGGCGAGCTGCGCGACGGCGTCAGATGCGGCCTCGTTTCGTCTCCCCGTCGCGCCCGTTGCCCCTGCTCGTCGCGCGCATTGCCTGCCCCGCCCCGTTCTGTCACGAACACAGCAGCAGCCGCGCGCAGCTGCGTACGGCCGCGCATTGCTGCGCGCAGCTGCGTACGACCGTGCGCACCCGCGCACGGTCGTGTGCGCCAGCACCAGCGCCCGTCGCCAGCACCTGCGCGAGCGCCAGCGACGACGCCAGCGCCAGCAGCAGCTAACGCCGCCCCCCCCTTCCCTTCCGCAGCTTCCGCCGTGGGGGGGGGGGATGTGGGGGTGGCGGGTGTGAGTTGCCTGCAGCCCGTCCTTCCCCTCCCTTCAGCGTGGTCCGCCGTGAGGGGGGCAAGAGGTTGCGGGGGGAGGGTGAGGGGAAAGGGGGAGATTGTGAAGGAGTGGAGAGAGAGATTCTGCCGAGCCAGCAGCCGCCCCTCCTCCTCTCTCTCTCACTGCCACGTGTGCTGCCGTGGGGGGGAGGGTGAGACGATAGCGGAAGTCAGCTAGGCATCTGCAGCTGCCGCCCGCTGCTATCGTGACACCTCCTGCTGCCGCCCCTGCCTCCAACTGCTGTTTTTTCTGCTGTCTTCTGCTGTTGAGCGGCAGGTGCTGCCGTTGAGCCCTGCTGTTCCGCCGCACGCACCCGCTCTCCAGGCGACCTGCCGCCACATGCACCTTTGCCTGTTGCTTCTACCTTGGCTGAGGGGTTGGTGTAGCGAAATCTGTCACCACTGCACCGGTTGCCACTGCTCTTGTCTACTGTTGCTGTTTTCTCTGTTCGTGGTGTACCCATCCAAGAGGTGTTGCTGCACAAACTCCTGCTGCAGGCAGTTATGGGGGAGTGTTGAAATATATATGTAACTGCCTGTAGCTGTAGTGTAGTGTAGTTATTATAACCTATTGGTGGTGCACCTTCTTTGCATGCTTTGTTTGCTATTTGTACCTCGCTCAATAGTGAACTCATCCTCTTTGGCTAAACTCTCTCGACATGTTCCTCTCAAGTCCCCTCCTACCCCAAACCCTAGTCTAAACCTAATCTACTCTTTTAACAAGTAGATCCTACGCCACGATCAACTTCTGATCGCAGCATGGTATGAGAGCGGCTCGGGAATCCTTCGCACTGCCACTCCCGAAAATTGCGACATTCGGAAAGTGGCGTCCGGCACACGCTCACGAGTGAAGATGGCCGGAGGATCTGGTGGTCAGACTAATCTGACGGCTGAAGCTCGCACCAACCCGGCTGCGACAAGGGAGAACACGACGACAATCAACTCCGAAGTTCTCGCACAACTCCTTCAGCGACTCACCAGCTTGGAGCAAGGACTCCAAACATTGCGGAACGGCGATGCGGGAACATCCTCGCAACCCTCTCAACCGGCCCCGACTGGCCAGAACGCCACCCCGCAAACATTCTCCCTCGACACCAATGGCTCAACCCCCAAGACTCCCCGTCCCAGTGAAGAGGCAATTCTCTCCGCTCAATCAAGGTTTCTCAGCATATCAAAAATAAAGACAAGTACATGTTTTGACGGCAGAGACTTTTACACCTGGAGCTTCGAGTTGGAGCTCCTTGTTGAAGTAGGTAGAGGATCCTAGGCTTAGGAGAAACCCTAGCCTAGGAGAATGTCGAGAGGAACGAGAGGTGAGTTGGCCAAAAGGGGATGTTCACTATAGTGTGAGCAATACAAATAGGCAGGAATCAAGAAAGGTGCACCACCAAACAGAAAGTGATATGACTACAGTATTCTACACTACAGGCAGTTATAGAACAATATATAAAACTATATATTATTCTGACACGCCCCCATAAGTGCCTGTAGGGAAGAATATGCAATCAACGCCCCCATAATGGGGTACACCAGACAGAGTGCAGCGGAAGAAACAGTGGCAGGCAAAAGCAGTGATAGCCGGTGCAGAAGTGGCAGATCCAGTTGTACCAAACCCTCCGCCAAGGCAGAAACAAAAGCAGGTGTAGGAGCGGCAGGTCGCCTGAGGAGCAGGCTCTGTGGCTGCAACGTGCAGCAGGACAGCAGCGGCTCGACGGCAGCACCTGCAGGCCCCAACAGCAGGCAACAGAAGCAAAGGCAGCAAAGGAAGGTGGCGGCAGGGGCGGCAGCTGGAGGTGCCACATCAGCAGCGAGCGACAGCAGCAGATGACCGGCTGACTTCCGTCGCCCCCTCACTCTCCCCCCCACAGCGGCACATGCGGCAGTGAGAGAGAGAGGAGGGGCGGCAGCTTCTTGCTCACACCCGCCACCCCAAACCCTCCCCCCCCCACTGCTGCACGCGCAGCAGGGAGAGAGAAGGGACGGCGTGTGGCAGGTTAGCGGTGTGGCGCAGCAGCGAACAGAGAGGCGTCAACCACCCTCGCGCCTCCCCCCCCCCCCCTCCCCCCCCCCACGACGAGAGTCGCGGAAGGGAGGGGAGGCGGCGCACGCTGCTGCTGGCGCTGGCGCTCGCAGAAGGCGCTGGTGCCGGTGCTGGCGGCCGTGTTGCGTAGGCGCTGGCGCTGGCGCACGCGCTGGCGCAGGTAACTGGCGCACGCGCTGGCGCTTGCGCAGGTCGCTGGCGCACGCGCGGGCGCTGGCAGCTGGCGCACGGGCTGGCGCAGGTCGCCGGCGCACGCGCTGGTTGCTAGCGCACGCGCGGGCGCAGGTTGCTGGCGCACGCGCTGGCGCAGGCGCCGGCGCTTCGGGTCGCAACAGGCCCGAAATCCGAAATTTTGCCAGTGAGAGCGCGGCGAGGCAAGCGTGGCGCAACGAACCAACGAGGCGCTCGCCATGAGAGCGAGAAAAGAAAAAAAAAATCTTAGGCCCGAGGATCTAGTAGCTCTGATACCATGTTGAAGTAGGTAGAGGATCCTAGGCTTAGGAGAAACCCTAGCCTAGGAGAATGTCGAGAGGAACGAGAGGTGAGTTGGCCAAAAGGGGATGTTCACTATAGTGTGAGCAATACAAATAGGCAGGAATCAAGAAAGGTGCACCACCAAACAGAAAGTGATATGACTAATGTATTCTACACTACAGGCAGTTATAGAACAATATATAAAACTATATATTATTCTGACACTCCTGCTGCAGAACGCCCGAATCTTCCATTACTTTGACGGGAGCTACGCGGAGCCCGCTGAGG